TATGTCCCCTGTCGAAGGATAAAGCCGTTGATCAATCCCTTTTTGGGATGCGGCACGCATTCTACTTCCATTTGTACATTCGTAGTGGCGTTTGAATGCGATGTGGCCTATACAATGACTTGCGGGGGCCAGCCGATGTACAAGTCAGTGTTTTTATCCTCCCAGACAAGTTATTACCCTCTTATATGCAGAAAGAACCTTTTATACCGAGGAGAAACAAGCTTACGAAAAGCACCTCCATGGACTGTCAAGGGTTGAGCAGGCGGGCATAAGAAAGGCGATGGAAAGAAGTGCGCCTTGGGGGGGCCACGTATCAGGCGACGCATTGAAAGAATCGGGTAGATTTTGGGGAATAGAGACAAAACGATCGAAAGAATAGGATGCAGTGGAAGTGTGAGATGTCAGTGCAATAAGTTCAAAAGGTCGAAAAGAGCTCTTAATGCCGCCACTCGAAGAACCTAACGGAAGGTCTCGCGCCAGCATTTGTGACAGATGTGCGGCGGGAATGTGAACGCTTAACAGCACTCTTTCTTCAAATCTTCCTAGAAAAACAGACTCATTCTTTTGTTATTTGCGTTCTCATCGTGATTGATAGGTCTCATGCCAGTGGTCGATGGGTAAGAAAAATCATGCGCTTTTTCTGGTAGGCTTCTCTGTTTGCTTACTCGCGGAGGTTCCGGTTCCTTTCAGTGTCCAGAGGTCAATAGAATTGACAGGTATTCAATTTTGTGGACTTTCAGTTTAAAGGTATGTATTTGACTAGTTCGACGGGCGAAGTGGTGTAGTGGCACAGTGGCCGGCTTACACGCTACCCCGTGGGTCCCTCAACTAGCGTCAGTTTCCTCTTCGTACCTCATTCTAACGTGAAGTCTTCCTTCAAAACGGTATGTTCATCGGAAAAGCTATACCAGGAAATGTGCAAAAAGCAAGAAGTAGAACTTGCGTAGCGGTCACACTGTCATTAATAGAAGGCTTTTATACACATAACTCGCTCAAAGGAATCTTCCACGGAAAAAGCTCCGCCTCCATTACCACAGAAAAACGATACCTTAGGCCCCTAGCCTCATGAGCATAGCAAAAAGAACGGAACATAAGCGTTAGTTTCGATAATACTAATCCTACACACAAGACAAAATGATCACTCTTTCCGTGGAAGATTCCTTTAAGCGAAGTCTGGCTCAATAAGGCGGGTATTATGGCGATTGAAACTGAGTATAGAGATGCGAAGTAGAACGACAGTGGAGAAAAAACTGAGAAAAACCGTCGACAAGGCCGTTAACAAAACCCTCTTTCCCACTAGCAATGAAGGAGGCTGTCTTGGGGAAGAGGCACGTACAAACAAGTTTTCTGAAGATATCAGTCGTTCTATCGGTTGATACGGCAATCAACCTAGCTGATTTCACACGTTATGCCAGCCACGCACCACATCCCAAGGTGGGCGGTCGTAGCGGGGCCAGGCGGCGATAGCGCATAGTACATGCCCTGGGGCCTTATTACTGCGCCGTTTCGGGTTTTGAGTGTGGGAACATCTCTACGGGTGCGTAACCAAGTATAAGTACAGGCATGACCGAAAGGGTTGGTTTGGTCAACTAATCCCGACCTTTGCCTTTAAGGTAATGAAGGCGGAGCTTTTTTCGTGGAAGATTCCTTTAATTTTTGTAGGCCAGTGTATTTCAGTTGGGGGGAGGGTGTTGGTGCTCACGCAAAAGCGTGCTTGCCACTCACAACTGGCTTACAATACCGGCATAGAAATTTTTCCAACCTAAGCCAAATAACAAAACCGTGAATTCCATTATCTTTCATCTGTGGGATGCTGCAACGAACGCTCCGAAACAAATTAATAGCGACAGTGTTTCTTGTTTCAGAGAGCAAACTCAACTGAACGTTCATGCATTCAGAAAACCAATCTAAAGCTACACAACGATCCAAAAAACATTTATATCACTACAATAGATGCAGAGTCAGTGCGCAAACTAACCGAAGCTTCGCTGCACTACAGAAGCGGACATCGGCGCGACAACGCTATCTGATTGCCGTCGCCGTTCGAGCAGGGGACGGTGCGCCCCACAGCGAATCAGACCGTGTCTTAGCGTTTGACGTGGACTCGCACTTTCTGGTCCTTACACGGACTGTCGATATAATATTGACTTGCTTTGAACACATTCGACATTTTCCCGAAATTTTATGTACAAGAGAAGACGAATATGTAGCACAAACACCACAAAAACTGCGCTCATTCGACCGAACATTTGCACGGAAATTGTTTAGGAGTGTTCTCTTAGCATGGGGCCTGACGAGACGCAGACACGGTGAGTGGACAGTGGGACGAAAGTAGGATAGTGTAGTAAAGGCCGATCAAATCCATTGCCGCGCACGCAGCGCAAACAAATGTGCGCATTTTTGCACTGAATTTCTGATGAATGTGTGGAGGGGTTAGCCAGGAATCCTTTCATGACTGCAGGTAAATCACACTTTCTCGCAACACATGCTCTCTTCCATTATTTACATTCGCTGGCTAATGTAACCGATTGATCTCTGGATGTGGCCTACGCAAACGACGAGGTTAAACAGTTCGTGTTTAGTCCCTATGTGATGAGGATAAGTTTCCTACTAGTTCTACGAAAACGGATGTTGCATCAAATGGCGCTAATGTTATGAAGACGACGGATTACGGTAAGACTCGATTTAATCGACCGTACAAGTGCGAGAGGGGGTAGGAGGGGAGGGGGGACTAAATGATGCGCCAGTGGCGAGATAAACAGAAGCATCTGTCAAGAAGCAGAAAAATAGGTCCCCCCGATGGCCGTCAACATGACAAAAACAGTATGCTTTGACTGATAACGCATCCCACAGAAGAGGACCCAGCCGCTAGAAGTGCAATGTCCTTTAGAAGAAGAATCAAACAATGCTGTCGGTGGCGAACACACTGGTGGGCGGAGCACAGAAAAGGTTGGGAACCATAACGCGCTGCAACCAGCACACCTTTAGCGGCCAGGTGGTCTCATCTCGCCTCTTTTGGCCCCTAGTTCCTGCTTGCACCGGTGCATGTACTTCCGTGCTGCACACACCACTTTTATTTTAATCCCTCCTTTGAAGGCGTCTACCGTTTACAACTAGAAGGCAGCCCTTGAGAATAATTCGAGTTGTTCAGGTCGATGGGAAACGAGCCGAAACAGCTCAGAACTCGAGAAATGAAACCTCTTCCTTGCCCGTTGATCTTTGCATTGATTCGGCTCTCATCAGTGCTGAACTTCCAACGCTGCTAAATCGCCAGAGACCTAGAATGAGTGCTAGCCGGCCGGTGGGCGTACCGCGTCGATAGCGCCACGGGATGGCCATGCTAGATAGCCGGAGGCATATCCTTCCTACGAATCGAGTCATTCACCACCCTTAGGGGTCCGCCTACCTTCCCACTAGGTAAGTTTCCCCTTCTTCGACCATCGCCCTATTGTGGAATCCTCCGCTAAATCCCTTCAACGATTTCCATTCCCATCACTTTTCGCGAGAACAGACCCCTTTATGTTGAACTCTTCATTAAGACCCCTCCCAGCAGTGAACATACGACCAGGGACGCTAGACGCAGATGTGAATACGTAAATTTCGATCAAAATTTGATGTTATAAGATGGGAAGAGGGCAGTTTCAGAAAAAAAAGTCACGAACTCGGTGTGTACGCATCCACTGAACGAGGACAGCCTCCCGAACTTCCTGAAGATCCACCAAAAGAGCTTCCACCGCGATCGCTACCAAATGAGCTGTCACGATCACCAGATGATGACGGTCTGCTTGGCCTTGAAGTTGTCGTCGAGTCTGCAACAACGTTCATTATCTGGACGTATTCTCTGAATGGAAGCAAAGTCAATTTCATCACGATTTTTTTTCATAGCCCTTTTCGTGATTTATTGATCGGTGCAGAAAGTTAGGAGAACGTATGGAGGTGAATTTGTAGTATTTTCTATGAAAAACAAATCATAAGTGATCTATTTTCTGAAGATCTGGTGACGTAACCCATATCCAATAGGGTCAATGAAGGGGCGCATAAGTAATGGCTTAAAGGCAAAAGTCGGGCTCAATAAGGGGGTATTATGGCGATTGAAACTGAGTATAGAGATGCGAAGTGGAACGACAGTGGAGAAAAAACTGAGAAAAACCGTCGACAAGGCCGTTAACAAAACCCTCTTTCCCACTAGCAGTGAAGGAGGCTGGCTTGGGGAAAGAGGCACGTACAAACAAGTTTTCTGGAGATGTCAGTCGTTCTATCGGTTGATACGGCAATCAACCTAGCTGATTTCACACGTTATGCCAGCCACGCACCACTTCCGGAGGTGGGCGGTCCTGGATTGACCAGGCGGCCCTGGATTGAAACCGAACGCCCCGGGGCCTTAACGGGGTTTTTCAAGGTGGGAAGTTGCTGCAATGTGTGCAGCTACCCACATACAACCTCCAGGCGGGGAATTACTTCTCTAGCGTGCCTGAGCCCGACCTTTGCCTTTAACATTCTCCTCCTTACTACCTCCTTCTATAAACAGCTCCTTGCCCAACAAATCTCTCTCTCCTCAACTTCCACAAAAAAAACGCGACTACCAGGAAGAAGGGGCGTGGAAGGCAGTTGAATACGCGACACCTATAACAACCCTAGGCAGTGGCACCAGTGCATATCGGCGCTTTCTGCTGCTACATTTGGCACCATACCGTTCCCAGCTGCGCAAAATTGCGCTACACGAACTGACACTTAAAAGGAGTGCTATATCGTGATCCCGCTCCCATGAACGAGTTTCCTACCAGTTCGATGAAAACGGATGTTGCATCAAATGGCGCCAATGTTATGAATGAGTATCACATTCTGATTCGTCACCTGAATTCCCGGTTACGCCAGTGTTTCCCAAACAGATAACATTTTGTAATAAGTGCTTGAGCCACTTTATAAATACACCAGTATAACATATTCACTGTAAAATAAGTTCAAAAAAGTCCAAAGGACGGACCTAAGTTTATAAGGGTTTAAACTCTGAACTCTTGGACTTTGAACTCACGTGATTCTATCCCTTTCACGTCAGAAGGCATGTTGGGGAAGTAACTAGATATCCGGTTGTTCAATGTGGATTGATTCCAGTACTCATCATACACGGCAAACTCATCGCGGCTCTGAAAATCGTTAAAAATAGCAGAAATGAAGCTCATCAAAATTAACGGATCGTGAAAATCATCTTCTGAAAAACGGCCAGAATGCTACACTAGTGATGCTCCTGGATCCCGACAACGCGTCGTCGAGATGGGTCGGTATTCCAAAGATTTTGCTGTCCTTCGGAATCTGTGACTCGATATATAGTTGTTATGACCAGCACGCCTTTTCAACTACTCAAGAAACCGCGTCGGATAGTTGCATTCGCCAATAGTGAGACAGACTTTCATTAGAAATCACCGTTTCGTACTCTAGTTCAGTTGAGGAATAATTGAAGAAACCATTTGAAATTGCCCGAAACCAAGAAATGGACCCGTTCCTTGCCCGTTGATGCGACTCTCATCGCTGTGCCCTCTTCAACACTACGCTCTCTCTGCTATCTAATCACTCGCCACGTATAGACCTGCGGCGAGTGATTAGATAGTCGGTGGGCGTACCCCGCCAACCGCGCCAAGAGTGAGCCATGCTAGATCGCCGAGGTCAAATCTTTCGCTGCCAATTGCGCGTCGGTCAGCACCCTCAGGAGGTCCGCCTGTCTCCCAACTATGCAATTTCCCCTTCTTTGACCTTCGTTCTTATCGTGAATTCCTCCTTTAATTGGAGTGGAATGTGACGTGGTTCTGTTAAATCACAAGCTGAATAGTAGACTAACGGATAAGAGGATCTGATGTCCATTGATCCACCGAAGAGCTCCGCTAGGTGAGAAGGCAATCTCTGATGGTAAGCGCTTGGGAAAACTGGAGTCTAGTTGGAAATTAGTTCGAAGACGTGAGAAAGTGTAGCCATATACCTATAAAAGAAGTATAGTTGATACCACAGACTATAGAGAATATCAATGAACGCTTTACGGATTACCTGCCGGCCACCAAAGAGAAGCATCATGCCAGAGATAGGGTTGAACACTGCCGCATCGACATGGGACGGGCCACCCGGAAAGAGGTCGCGAAGGTCATAAGTCTGGAAATAGTACCTAGAATTATCAGAAGGTCAGAAGTGAAATTCCTAGCAAAAAATACTACCTTACGAACACGTCGATCGCTCAGCTCATAAACCTTGGAGCCAGAGAACAAGTAAGAGAAAGCGAAACCTGAATTCAATTATTCAATAGTTCAATCATTTGAACCGGACTGATAATGAAATATATAAGTCTGGTTAGTGGCGCATCTTCCCCTCCTTCTCCTTTGTATACGGTAAAGCTTGGGGGAGCGCCAGGGCTGGGGCCCGGTTAAGGCGCAATAGGTCATCATGTGCTGCGTGCATCAAGGGGTTGTTACCGCGGGGCATGGCCCTGTAACCCCCCGTTCCTGGGTTAGGAACCCTGTAAGGCCCCGGGGTGCGGAGGTCATGCGTGCGGGAAACCGCATGATCCCCGGGAAGGACCCGTAGAACGACGTGTGCCTGGGAAAGGCCACGGGGGCCCCGAACCACCTCGATGCGTCGTGTTGGAGGGTTAGGAGGGCAACCGCTCCCGAACCACGACAACCGGGCAAATGTGGCGGATTACATTACAGTATATGTAGGTACATTTACAATGAATAGTAGTTCGAAGGTACGTTGTTTCTTAAAGAAGGGGCTCTTCAGTATTTATTTTGATGGGATGAGCTGCTTATTTACTCCAACCCCTATGCCTCTTTCTGAGTTCGACTCGCTACACTCCACATTGCTTACGAACGAGCAAACCACTCATAGTGTGACAATCTGGAGTGTATGAAAAGGCACCTTCTACATCATTTTTTGAAATAAATTCACACTTTATTAAACGATTAACATTGAATGTAACTCGAAAGTGAGGTTTGTGATTCGACCCGTTTCGACCTCGCGTTGTACTGGTACACCATACTTGGAGTGAATACCGTGACTGTAGAACCCGATGCTGAAAAATCAAGTGTAGGAAAATTATAACAGTGCAGTCTGCTTCGAGAAAGAAAATTATACAACGGAAGAAAATGTTCTATTTATTTAGGAAGCATAGACAAAACTCAGAAGAAGTGTTCAAGAAGTGCTTTTCTTCGTGTCATTTTGAATCAAAACTGGTGCTACCTAAATTGTTTATAGGCAAGCCCCGGGATTAGCCCGGCCAGTAGGAAAGATACCGCGAGGGAAATTTTGAGGTCCGTACCTAATAAATCATGCCAGCTTCGGCGTACAACTCGCGCTATTAGGGCGCTAATGCTTACGAGAATGCAGCTAAACCCCCTTGCAACGCTCCTCACCCACCGCGACTAATGTAGAGATCAGGTAGCATTCTCGAACGGAGTTCTCTCTCGCGAGTGTCTTCTTTGATCGCTCTGACCCGCCCTTATACCACATCTGGCCTTACTGAGAGTTAAGGCCTTAGTTTAGCGTTTCCGATGATTTCTCTTGCTTTCCTTTTCGTTTAAGTTCATTCCACAGCTCAGTCATCATTGCTAAGAGCCCTTATACACCTGTTTTATCCCGGAGGTTTGCCTTTGATAATGACCGAAAACGACATATGGCCGGCTTCAAAGCCCTCACATAAATAACTTCGTATAGCATTCATTAATACTGGAATAATGATGCCCAATCGGCAATAGGGGAAGGCTGAAAACGGTGAAAAACCAAAGTTTCAACTGGGAGGAGTAATGCATATCATTCGATAGCATTTTTCACGGGGAATCTAACGGGGCACATTTCAGGTCTGCGAGTTCATCTGGAAATGCAAAAAATCTGATCTTTCCACAAGGGCATGACGAGGAGGCATGTTCACAGCCACAGCACGGCGGAAGCGCTCGTCTACAAGCAAGTATGTCATCTTATTTCTACACACAAGTAAGCGTACTCTACAACAGTGAAGAATTTCCCCGCTACCTCCTCAGATTTCGGAAAAACCTTCGCTCAAACATTGGAAAATTTCACCAAATAGGCTAACTGTCCTGCTGAGAATTGATCTATGATTTCCATTTGAACACGAGAGGAGGAGATGTTGAGCGCAGGGATGTACGTGTTAAGTCATTTAACGCGCCGCTATGGAATAGGGACCATGAAATCTGGAAAAAAGCAATCGATCCATTCACAATACAATGGACGATGTTGAATACGCGGCGCGTTCTGGGGCAACTGCTGAGACCCATCTCTCTGAAGAACGATCATGATGCATAAGCGGGATTATATGCGCACCACATTCAAACAATTTTTTCTCGAGCCAAAGCTCGAGTGCATGGCGCAATCTGAAGTAGGGCTTTCCAAAAGTTTAAAAGCACATTCTTATAGAACTCGACGAGCTGAGTTCAATGCTTTTTTCAGATTTCGAAAATCTTAATTCTGAAGCGAGTTATAACGAAAAAACGAAAAAAACGCGAATTCGCGTTTTTCGCGTTTTTTTACGATTTTTTTACCGTAGTTTTCCACATGGTTAGACTCGCCACAGAGAGACGAGTCCAATGGTGTAGAGCACCAATCATTTGACCCGCTTTGGGGGGAGTTATGAAGGGGCGACGCTTTGCGACGCTGCAAATCCGTCGCTCAGCGGAGAAATTTCAAAAGTTAGTGGCGGTATTGTAAGTATTGCGACGTTCACCTACTGCCGTTTTGGCGACATTTTTTGCTAACAGTTTGTAATGTATATAGTCGCACAGAGCTCAAATGAAGTGTAGATGTAACTTATTTATTCTCAGGAACTAAAGTCCAGCATTCAGCACCAGTCCATGCACAGCAGCGTTACGGTGATCCCGCCCGAATGAGGGTACGTCCGGTGTCGCGGTTCGCGACGACGGTCGTGGGCGCACCGCGCGCCCGGCCCCCTGTCGCGCCGTTGGTCGCTTGGCGGCGCACGCACCGGCGAGAGGCGCGTGCTCCGCCTCCGGCCACGCCTCCAGCCGAGGCCTATATAAAGGGTCGCCTCTGCCAGTCGGCGCTCTTCGTCTCCTCCGGGAGAGACGGTCGTCGGGCAACGCGAGGAAGGCGAACGGCTAGGGGTGCCTGCTAGCACCCGTCAGCATGTTCGGGCATGCTGTCCCGTTCGCTCGGAGCGCTGGTAAGTTAGTGTCCCGCTACACCCGAGGGACACTATCGGCTGCAGGCCGTTGTTACCGCAGTTACCGCTATTGGCTGCAGACACTACAAGCGTTGGCCGGGCTTCTCCACGCTCGGCAGGAAGTTAAGTTGTAGTGCGTTAAAGGACGTTATCGCCAATAAACTATGAGTCCAAGATGTGTAGTGTTGTGTACAAGTATAGGCAGC